AAGTTGATTGTGATGTCATTTTTCACGTATTACTTTGGATGGTAACGAGGCTGATGTACGAGGGTCATAATCCTTGATATTTTAAAGAAAACTAGGGTATTCTTGTATCTACTAATAGCTTGTTTATCGAGAAAAGAGTACATGGATATATCATCAAACCTTTTTTTATATCATAAGTAGCAAAGGAGCGAGCGGCCGCCTGAATTCGCCTAGAAAGCGAAGCGATTGCTGCCCATATACATGCGCAATTACACATGCGTTGCTAAACCTTAATCAACGAAGGAGACGCACACAGCGAGGTTATTTCCCCTTCCTATGCTTCCCCACCGTCAAATCGACTTTTCCTTCCCATTTATTCCGTATAAGAAAATGGTGGGAAGGGAAAGGCACCACACTCATCAGACGAAACGCGGGATTACTCCCACTTCACGCCTGTTTTCTGTGTGGTCGTGGTATTGTTGTATTGTACCGGGCGAGCCCTACCGTGCGAAGATGTTAAAGCGGGCTCTACCACTGTTACAACATTTGCAACACTTACTACAATATTTTTTTTTACCACTTCCGTATACTTTTTGAGTATCCAGTGTTAAATATTTTATTCATAAATTAAAGTTTTAAGAATTCTAGATTCTTGTGTAATGCATATTAAAATACGTTACACAATCTACGCTTCGCAATAAGCGAACGAAATTATTTGAATTGCAGGTTTCGTGTCATAGCACAAAGCGAAGTTGAAGTCAAAGTTATAATGAAACCGCTGAAATTTAGTAGATTTGTCAGATGCAATAAAGTTGGTTACAGATTTTAGATGTTAAATAGTTTTACGTAATATTTAAAAAGTGATGAACATTAAAACAGACAACAGGTGAGATAATTATTAAGGGAGAGGACTTTGATATCGGAAGATCTACCTGGAGGAAAAAATCCTGAAACGCTGACCCTAGTGAAAAGAACAAAGGTATGATAAGTCAAAGCCACATATGAATTTGAAGTAAATGTTTCATTAAAAACATTCGATAAACAAATCTCATTTCAAAAAATGTTTCGCATGTGCATAACAGTGGTAGAGCCCGCTTTAACATCTTCGCACGAATGGGCAGGCTCGCCCGGTGCAATACCACGACCACACAGAAAACAGACGTGAAGTGGAAGCAATTCCGCGTTTCGTCTGAAGAGTGTGGTGCCGGAGGCCGAATTTTAGTCCCTTTCCCTTTCCCTTTCCACTCTTTTCTTAAAAAGAAAGGATGGGAAGGAAAAGTGGATTTCACGGTGGAGGAGACGCATAGAAAGAGGAAAAGTCCTCTTTATGTTCGTCTCCTCCTCCGTCAATTAAAGGTAGGCAACACATCTGCAATTGCGGATGTTTATGGACAGCGGTTGCTTTCCATTTCGGTGGATTCAGGCCGCTTGCTCGTTTGCCACCTTATATTATAAAAAAAAAAATGTTCCAAACCCATATAGGTGTACACTGTTACAGTGCGATACTGCTGCCGTCAACATTTTATTAAAAATATTATTGTCTAATTTTTTTCAAAGGGGTTTATAGAGGTGATGATATTTCATAAGGCACTTTATGCAGTAAACCAGCTTTGTTGCGGTTTGTGTTAATTTGATAATGGCCTGCGGTCCGCGTGATCTCACATAATCAAAAAAGGTATGTTTGCACACAAAAGCTTTTTGGAATGCGGAAATATTAACGAAGAATGTTAATTGTATTTTACATTGTAACGTTTTTACAAGAAAGCTCACGTTAAATGTTCATGTCCTGCGTATTTTTTTTACATAAATCAGTAAATAAATTAAATTTATACAGTTTAACAATATCAAATAATTTACAACTAAATCAAATAAATTAATAGTTTTTACGTTAAAAAAAAAACTCAATTATTTAGTATTTCATCTTAATAGAATATTCATGACTATATTTACGCCGATGCACAAATAGCTCGTAGAAATGGTAAACACGCACGACCATAGACAACCTTTTTATTAACTTGGGGAAATAGGCAACAAATCTCTCCGCAAAACAGATAATATTTGCTTACACCGACTTACGATAGTCACCAAAGACGTGAGTGGACAAAGGATCTCAAAGGTTCAAGGTCGCGTTACAAGAAAAGAGATATAGTCTAGTTAGATCAGGCTAATTCATATGATTACGCGGTTCCATGGACATCTACTTACCTACAGTTGTAGGTCGGCCTTTGAGAGATTAATTACCTTAGTTTTGAAATTCCAATAGTCAACTGAGCATTTACTTGATTTTCTGCGTGTGAAATTAAAAAAAAAAACAATGAAAATATCGATAACGTAGTTTTTTAATGGTGAAACAATTTTTGTAATCAGCCCAGTAGTTTTTGAGTTATCTTACATACAAAAAATCCAAATCTTTCCTCTTGATAGTATTAGTATAGTGTATAGACTGAATTTTATTACGTAATGAAGATATTAAATAAAAAAACAATCCCTACTCTCGCGATGCACCGACTGTTTTAATATTAATCTGTACATCGCAAGATAACAGTGGTTGCGTGTTATTGCACGACGCGGTACGTCTTTGTGAACGTTTATTGTACCGAAGCTGAGTACTAAGTTAAGTGCACTTGTTACTTGTATATGGATTACACGATATTACTATGAAAACAAGGTAATGTATCGGTTTAAATTTCAAGTATTACAGTGTGTCATTCTAATGTAACATTAATATTACTAATATTAAAATTTATGGATGGATGGATGTTTGTTGTTTACCTATAGACTAACTAAACTGCTTTCCCTGAAATTTGGCTTATATTTAGAACATAGTCTGGAACAACACAGGCTACTAATTTACTATCTCTTTTGAACTTATAAAATAATAATTATAAGAAGAGTTATTTTCAAGACATTGATAGAAAACAGTCAACGAATGTTTCAAGTTTTGTTTACAAATATTTGGAATTCATTGTAAAATCAATGGTTAATCCAAACATGTCGATTTAGTTTCACACGAGAATAAACGAGTGTAGTGGACCGACGCATCCGTGATGCGGAAACACTTCGGAGAAATTTAATTTGAAACGCAACGAATGATTATGAATTTACAAATTGTTTTTATTAAAACTAATGCGAAGCGAACAGAGAGAAAACTCCAAGCAATACGATTTGCATTTCTATTTATGCTCTTTATAGGGTTTTTAAAGTAAAAGACTATGACTAGACTAAAGAATATGTATATCCGTGTGGATTGAATTAGAGATAGCGCGGAGAATAAAATTGTAGAGAATGTTTTCTGTCAGTGCATCAGGCTGACAGATTAAACAGAATGAACAATCCTAAGCTTACATCTTAACACACGCTCTGGGCGTGAAAGTGAGTTTATTTAACGGTGAATTTAAATCGCGGATTCACCTGCATTATTGTCATTATGTTTTATTTAAAAAATAGAGATACGAGAGAGACCATAACGAGCAATCTGCCATTGAATTCACTAAAAATATCGAAGTTATTGTTGCCCATAGACATTTGCCTTTGCAGAAGTTTTAATTATTAACAGGGTGTTTCCGCTTATTACGATTTCCCAATTCTGCCTTACCCTCCAATATAAGAAAAGGAAATGGGAAATGACCAAAATTAGGTCACCAGCATGCAAACACATCAAACGAATCGCGGAATTTCTTCCACTTCAAGACTTTCTTAAATGTACATACTTTCTCATTACTTTTGTATTGTTTTTGTGTCCATCATGTATCTGTACATGTCCCCTCCACTTATTACATGTTCGCTAGATAACTTCAGGCTTGTTAAATCTATTATGAATGAAATATATTACGAGTGCATTAACAATGTATTCCATCGAGTGCCTGTGTATACCGTCTTTGATATCGAATCTTATCTATTTACTTTTACAAACACTGTTATCCTTGCACGTGTTTGTTTAATAATTAACAATAGTTTATTATGACGGTAAATAAAAAAATCTTAATGCAAATTACTAACGTTAGGGTGAGGCGCGGTTAAGCGACAGCCCAGGGCGCTTGACAGTAAGGGGCGCAACAAGTTTAGGAATTACGCAGTCTGACATTACAGCTAACAATGTTAAAACTCCTCATCCACGGCATATTTTAAATTAGTTCTCTCTTTCCTTATCTTTTTAAATCATAGAGTCATTTATATACACTCTATAACTTTATAGAGTAAAATTTAACGTGCTTAGCTGTTGACCGTGAGTTTAATAGACAGCCGCATTCCAATGTTATTATTTTTTACAATGGTAACAATGGTTAGACGAGGTAAGAAATGCTATCATAGTGACTTTAGACAGCAATTCAAATATTGACATTCTGTCTAGATGATAACATACGTGTTAATTCATCTGATAAAACAAAAGAGAGAAAAAAACAATACGTCTTCAAAGGATTGTGGACTCTATTACTTAAGATTAATGTATTGCCTTAATGGAAGTACAAATATTAAAACAAGCTTTCGCCCGCAACTCCGTCTGTGGGGAATTAAAAACAAAACTTAATTAGTAGCCTATGTGTTGTCCTAGACTATGTTCTACTTCCATACCGAATTTCATCGAGATCTCTAGTAGTTTAGGGTACAAACTCTAAAAAATGTTCATCCATCTAAACTTTCGCATTTATAATATTTGTAAGAAGTATAGTTACTACTAACTGTTGCCCGCGACTTCGTCCACGCAATATTAAGATAAAAAAGTCCTCCCGTCTATGTCAGCTACCCTTCAGTGAAAGTCTGGTCGAAATCGGCCCAGTTGTTTCGGAGTTTACCCAAAACAAAGGCGGCTTGCAGACAGACGAACAGATAGACAAAATTAAAATGCGATTTTCTCTCTCGAATTATTCTTTTGAGATTACAAACACTCTGATTTTATTATATTTTTAAATGACGTCAAGTTACTTTAGTATCACGTTACGGCGCTTGTATAGTACTTTACTATTAACTTAATCGCCGCAACAAGTTGAAAATAATAACCTTAAATAGATAAACATAATATGCCACTATTGTTACTTAATATTCAAGTACATGATTATCAAAAATGTAAAAAATTGGGTTTCCACGACATTACGTCGACCTCGCTTTATGTTGCGGTTAAACAGGTTTATTCTAGAGTCGGACATTTCATCGCAATGTTGTTTTCATGTGGAATATACGTTTAAAAAATATCTTGTGAACTGCTGATGTGTTAGTGATTATGTACAGTGTTGGATTTATAAAATGAATTACAATACAAGGTACGTCATTGTAATTGTTATATAATAAACAATTATTTAATTATTTTAATTTTATTTATAAAATCTACATATTTTTTTAGTTTAATCTGATAGTTATTAGGAAACATAAATATTATATATCCTAAAACTATTTATTAAGACGTTAATTACTAACTTTTGGTAAAAAATTTAGTGTAAATATTTTGATGTACTTAATTTAGTTTAGTTACTTTATAGTTAACATCACTTAAGATACAAATTAAGTAAAGATATTTAAATAGAATTTAAGACTACACTTGAAATTTGCGATAAAAATAAATGGAGTTGAAAATCGAAATTCTAAAAGCGTATAAATGATGCTTATTTTTATTAACGATTATGTAACATTGCCTTAATAAGACGTTATACAAATTTGCGTGGGATGAATAGAGATTTTAAGAGCATGTTTGTTTTTTGTCAATTTCAGATAAAACGTTAAAGTCATTCACATTTGTAATTGATCTTCTTTGAATAGCATTAGTAGATAAAAATGTATATTAAATGATTATCTAGACATTATCAACTTTATAAATCTCATCACCATCAGCTTGGTATTGGGCTCAGAGCTTACTAAGTTAGTGGTGACTAGACCATACAACACGCTGGACTGCGGGTGGATTTCACATATATCTTTGAATTTCTTTTTACCGTAAGAACGTCGGGTAAATGTAAAAAAAACAACTTTGTATAATGGTGGGATTCGAACCAAGGAGAAGATTACAAGTCAAGTGCTTAACCATTGAGCCACTAATACGATGTTAATATGAAAAAAGTTTTTTTTTACATATTCCAGTAGTGAAAGCTGTGACCCCCTGCCTATGCAGTCAACGATAACGCTGAACATAAGTGAAAAAGATGTCTACAGCGAAGATACGTATAATCCTTTTGATCATCGGAAAGTTTTACATCCGACTTCGTAAGTTTTACTTTATTCTTAAGTTAGTAAGTAAGATATGTAACTTTAAACTGTCGTGGTTTTAACAAATGTAATGTTCGTAAGATACGGGTTTCTTAGCACGATTGAATTGTTTTAGCTCCATATATTTAGGCACAGTTGCATGCGCCAGTCAGCTCGTCAGTCACGAGCTGATTGACAGTCAGCCCGTGAACATGGCGTATGCAACTGTGCCGAAATATCGGGAGCTAAAACAATTCAATCGTGGTAAGAAACCCGTACCTTACGAACATTACATCAGTAAGTAAGATGTTCATCTGAATCTATCCATACATTCTGGGTCTTCTATTCTTCTAGAATTTTAAATTCGTTCGTATAATTTTCTTAGTTAAATGTCTATCTCATTTCGCATAATAATCCCATACTACTTTGACCTTTTACTTCACTTTTTATTATCACTATTGCATTTTTAAGACTTGGATTTGTCGTCATCTTCAATTTGCCCTCCTCCCTACGGAAAGTCGGCACAATATGTGCTGCTCTTCTATTCATCTCTATCAGCCGTCATATCTAAATCAGTGGATTTTGATTTTGAAGGGAGTGCCCTTCTATCTCATGCGATTATTCTATACTTTCTTAGGTCTACCTCTACCTTTATATTGTTTGTAATAATAATGTAAATTTTAACACTCTGTCGTTTATCAATTAATTTAAACAATATAACCGACAGTAAAATAATTTTTATGTCTCCTTATTTTGATTTATTGCGGCTCTATTGTACAAGTTATGTATTATACCGCACATTCACTGAACTTGGTAGACACTGAACTTTGTCGAGTTCGTCTAACAGCTTACAAAACTTTCGACAGCCATTAACTTAGCCTGTTATTTGTCGTTTACTTTGCCAGAATTGATATCGTATAAATTGTGAACGGTTTGTAATACATAGAGAGAATTCGTAAGTTTATTTAAATTTCAAAATCGTCCGTTTACAGAACTTTAGGTTCATTCTTCCATTTGCTGAAGTCTTCATTGGGCTCTGGTTTACTAGCGATGCCAGCTGCCTTCAAGCACACCGGCCTGATACCGGGGTGTATTGGTACAGCACTAGTCGGCGTGATAGCTACACACTGCGTGCATATTTTAGTAATAATATTTAACTTATACTAAAACTAGCTTTAGCCCCGACTCCGTCCGCGTGGAATTAAGAAAAACCAAAAGCAAATAGCCTATGTGTTCATCCAAACTATCCTCTACATTTATCCCAGTTTCATCTAATTCCGTTCAGCAGTTTAGGCTACAAACTCTACAAAACACCCTTCCATCTATCCGTCTATACTTTCGTATTTATAATATTAGTAACATTAGAAAGCGTGATCCTTTTTTTTTATAATCTCAATTTACTTCCAAATTTCCAGGCGTTGTTGAATTCAATATTCTTTAATAAAGTAAAAGCATTTAGAACAAGAAATCTTGCAACGTTGAACACACATATGTTTTAAACAATAAAATATGTATCCAGTTTAGCTGTTGTGAAGCTTCACATTTTTACGTCTGAAAAATATTATAGAAAATGTGATATACGTCAAAGTCGCCAATAGAATTGTAAAATGATGGGTCCTCAAATTTTGTTCAGGTGTCGACGTCCCGAGAGATTTGCGGCCATTGTCGTGTCAGTTCATTGAGTTATACGGACACGTGTGAGAAGGTATTCAAGCATGGGCCGCATACGTTGAGAAAATACTCACAAACAGTCAGGTAAGAATAAAATCATGCTAATATTATAAATGCGAAAGCTTAGATGGATGAATGTTTGTTAATTTCAATGAAATTTGGTATAGATGTAGAGGATAGTCTGGAAGAACACAGACTACTCACTTTTATTTCTTTTTTTGACTTCAGGAGAAGGGAGTCGTGAGTGAAGTTTTAAAGGAAAAAGTTATCTTTTTGATTCCTAATTATAGTCTTTCAAATGTAATGTCTTTCGATTTTAAGAAATTTGACCTCCATTTATTTCGCAGACATTTTGCGGATTACGCGATGGCGGGAGTGTGCTTGGGTGGTACCAGTGTTTATGTGATATTCATCGCTAGCTCTCTCAAAGATGTGAGTACGTATTATTTATTTGTTTATATAATACGAATGTTTCATTAAGTACTTATTTTGCTTATGTTAAAGATCCGACAACTTTTAACGTAATTCGAAACGTTAAAACTGTTTTAGCTCCCGATTTGTTGTTGCTTTTTTGTGTTTTTATTCACTTTTTTTTATTATACATATCGATGTCTTTAGAAGATTTTAACTATAATTTTACTGAAATTTCAAGTTGTATTAGACTTATTTTTGCAATTATTATTTGTTAATTGGTAAACTTTATAATTTTTTTCCTATGTGCGTTTGTTTTGCAATCAGTACTCTATGCGTTTTGTATTATTGAACACCAGTCTTTAAATAGATATTGTTCTCTAGACTATAAGTAATTACTAAGTGGAGTTAAGTAAAATAAAAGGTCCGATAAAAGTCTGGGAAACTCCGATTTATTCGATCGGAATTTATTTGACACGTTTCAAGGAAATTGCTTTCAGTCTAATTCTAAGCTTGACTTTCAGTTTTCTTTGTCTAAATCGAATAACTTTTAAATTTACAATTCCATCTATTTGCCAATATAATGGCTATTAAGTAAGAGTAAAAAATATTTTAACTGGAATATAAATTTTACACTATTGTAGCTCTATCTAATTAATACATAGTATGGAGCATAATTTTGAGGATAAAACTTCCATTTGGTCGACTATATACTTTTCTTAGAAGCAATAAATTCCCCGGAGTTTGTGTTCTTTAGAATTCACGATTGCGGAAAATGTTGGTTAAAATGAAATTTCTATGCTAGTAAAACACTGTACGTAAAGAACAGTTTACATTTTGAAAGTTAGTTTTCATGGAAATAAGTCGTGTGTATTTGCTTAAATAATGATAGTATTGGTCTTATTATTATAGACAGATAAATCATACTGAGTTTTAGAAAAATCATACTAAGATCTGTTCAATTTTATATTCCCGAATTTTTCTAAAAATTTTAACAAGCGTTATTTAAAATGCTGACATCCCACTCTGAAATATCACGTTTGCTTCCGCATACATTTTTAAGACTTCTCTATTCTGATATCAATTTTATATTTTCTTTTCCAGATTTGCGATCATTTCAATCCAAACTACACGTTTTCAGTGAAAGAATACTGCGGCTTTTTGCTCATACCACTCATCGCCTTAACTCAAATCAGGCATTTGAAGTTCCTCGTCCCGTTCTCATTGTTAGCGAACATCTGTCTCTTACTGACGTTTGTGATAACGTGTATCTACACTTTCAGTGATCTAAATGACATATCGACAGTCAAACTTGCATCCAGTCCTACACAATGGCCGCTGTTCTTAAGGTAAGTTCTGCCAATTAGTTTGACACTTCGAGGTCTGAAGTATTTTGCGCTACAAACCAAATCAATCGCCTCACTATAACTATTTCATTGTATCTGTACTAAAACTAAAAAAGAAGAAATATTTTAACTTTTGTATGATTTAAAATAACTCAATAACTATTTTGTTAATATCAAAAAATCTAGCACCATTAAAAAGCTACGTTATGAGTGTTCAGATTTAGTAACATAGGCTATATTTTACGTGGCCGAAGTCGCGAACAACAGCCAGTTATTACTACACTCAGTTGTTGCTTGGGTGTTTTATTACTAGCTTTCGCTCGCGACTCCGTCCGCGTGGAATTAAAAAAAACAAAAGTGAGTAGCTTATGTGTTCTTCCAGACTATCCTTTACATCTGTACCAAATTTCACCGAAATGCGTTTAGCCGTTTAAGCTACAAACTGTAACAAACATCCATCCATCCATCCATCTTAACTTTCGCATTTATAATGTTAGTTAGATAGGATATTTTTTTTCATTATAAGCTTAGGTTATTGGATGTAACTAAGCACTAAAACCGGTTTGAGTTAGCTAATTTTATTTCGCTTTCGGCGTATATTTAAAAAACGGTTGTTTAAAAAAGAGTCTTTTAATCTATGTTATCGTACAACAAACGCCAGTAGATAATTACGTTCAGATGCTACCTTTCATCTATACTATTATAATAAAGCGTAAACACACACTTCTTTGTTGCCTGAGATGTCAGCAATAACAGCATATTTCTGAATAATCCTTTTTTAATATCATAAAAAGCCCTACACTTACGTCACACTTTAGGCTATATATTTTCACGCCATTAAACATAGGAGGTAAATATTTTGAATAAAAACCCTAATATGGGAAAGAGACCATAAGTTGCTGCCAACATCAAGAAAGCAGGATTGCTAAGGTTTGTCGCGTCATGTCATTTTGACATTTGCTATTGATAATTTGACAACTGTAAACAATAAAATAAAATTTTCATGCGGAAGAAGCCGCACGTGAACAGCTAGTTGTGGTTATAATTGCTCAGAGATATTGTTGGACACTTAAAAATAGGTTTCATACACCTTTTATCTTAATGGAAATGTACAGATACTAAATGAAAGTGCTTGTCGCATTTCAACTTGAAGTTATTAAGTTAATAAGTTTGAAGTAAACTGTTGATGCTAGTCAAAATATAGAAATGTTCCTTATTATTTTATGAGCTTGTTTTTTATCTTTGAAATTACTTAACTACTTGTTTGTTATATTTTATCTGAGATGTCTTAATTATTCATTTTCTTAGATTTAAATTTGTTTGGTCCATTCCTTTTTAAGTCGATAAAATGAGTTTGCTTTCTAATATCTTTAAGTTTCTTTTTATATCTTATTTAAAAGCTAAGAACGATAGAAACATCAAAGACTAAAATTTAGAATCGCTACTTTGTAAGTTGCTTCGTTAGACTAATAATTTTTACATACTCAAAGGTATGAGAACTGAGCTTAAACGTCTGGTATGTAGAAACCCAGTAACTGTGTTTGTTGCAGCACAGCAATATTTGCTATGGAAGGTATCAACGTGGTGATGCCTGTTGAGAACGAGATGAGGAAGCCGCAACACTTCCTGGGCTGTCCTGGAGTACTGAATGTCACTATGGTGCTGGTAGCCGTGCTATACGCGGTTGTCGGTGTGTTTGGTTATTTAAAGTACGGTGATGATGTTAAGGGGAGTATCACAATCAATCTACCACAGGACGAAATGTGAGTCATTTAGAATTTTTACGTCTATAGTCTGATTAGTTTATGACCCGATGGCCATAAGTGACGATTAGTACAAACCTATCGGTAACAGAGAAAGAATTGAGAAAGGCAATTAGATTTTTATCTCACGTAAATGTAATTTTAAAAAAAATAACAAAGATACAAACAGTTTTATCACGTTTATTACTTAAAGGAATTGACGTCGTGGTTTTACAAGAAAGTAAATCTTTGTTGCTAATTAAATTTGACAGGAGCAAAGTGATGCATGGGATAAGTCCAGCTAGAGCACTGTTTGTTTTTCTAACTTGATGTTTTTTTGTTACTGGCTAAGTAACACCTTACTTAAAATAAGACAAAATTATTATAAGTATGTATGCATGCATATTTTATGTGTCGCAGTTTTAAGTCTCTTTTAATGTGTTATTATCCACATTCCTAGAATGATATTCCAAAAATATATTCACGTCTTTAGTAGATAAAAAATAAATCTGACAACGTTGGTGTTTTGAAATATTGAATACGTGCCTTGAATAAGACATTTTTATTCAGTTCTAAAGTGCTATCGAGATGCTTTTACAAGAAGGATAGGCTGGAATTTTCTTTTCATTCTATTATACTCTGTTTTGTGAATGATGTGGTCTTTAATGAATCATAAAGTCTTTATTTCCGGAAATAGATTTAATGAGTTTATGCGTTGATCATAAAATCTCAAAGACCACTTACCGATAGACACACTTTTTAGATGTTAACATGGGACCACTAGTGACTTGCCAAAATTTAGTTTGTTTAATGTCCACTAGGCATGTCCTTGTCGATCTAAGGTTTATTAAAGCTTTGGATGTAACGGAAACTGGTAGTCTCTCTCTCCATACAAACAAACTTAAAAACGTAATTAAAAATCTACTTTTTAATTGAAAATTATAATTTTCAAGCCGAGCCCGCTTTAACATCTTTGCACTGTAGGGCTGGCTCGCCCGGTGTAATACCACAACCACACAGAAAACAGACGTGAAGTGGAAACAATTCCACGTTTCGTCTTATGAGTGTGGTGCTGGAGGCCCAATTTTAGTCCCTTTCCCTTTCTACCCTTTTCTTAAGAGGAAAGGATGGGAAGGAAAAGTGGATTTGACGGTGGAGGAGACGCATAAGAAGGGTAAATGTCCTCTTTATATGCGTCTCCTGCTCCGTCAATTAAGGGTAAGCATCGCATCTGCAATTGCGGTTGTTTACGGGCAGAGGTCTTTCCATTTTGGTAGATTCAGGTGGCCGCTTGCTCGTTTGCCACCTTATATTAAAAAAAAAATCTTAACTAAAACACTGTTGACAAACAGATTGTGTTTAGTTTGTTAAAAGTGTAGTATTAAAGGGTTTTATATTTCTATTGTATTACTACAATACGTTTCAGATTAGCATTGACAGCGAAGGTAATGGTGGCAACGGCTGTCTACTTCACGTATTGTCTGCAAATGTACGCTCCTATGGACATTATATGGACCCGTATAAAGGATTCCATGAGACAGAAATTCCACAACACCGGACAAATAGTTCTTAGAACGTTAAGCGTTGCTTTAACAGGTTTGTAAGTCATTAACTTTCTTTAAATTGTTGAATCATAAAACATCGAAGTTTTATGGTTCAACTTTTTATTAAAACTTCTTAGACTACATTACATATGCCAGTCTTGGAATTACTTATAGAGTTTGAGTCTAAATATAAATAAGGTATTTCATTTAATTATTTTTGCACAAAATTATATACATTTACTTAAATTAAGCTACGACAAGATTATTATTTTATTACATTTATCTATACTAATATAATAAAACGTAAACATATTTCTTTGTTATGTGCTATCAGCAATTACGGAATATTTTGGAATAATTATTCTTTTAATGAAAATCCGTTATGATTTTACAAGAAAATCGTAGTAAAAAAGTTTGCCATGGTAACGGTAATTTTTAGCCAATGGTTAGGGCCTTCGTTGTCATTAAAGCATTTGTAAATCATAGCATACAATAAAGTTATTGTAATATCCTACTGCTGAAGCCGCACGGGAACAGATATCTTACTAATATTATAAATGCGAAAGTTTAGATGGATGGTTGTTAGAGTTTGTAGCCTAAACGGCTGAACCGGTTTCGATGAAATTTGTACAGATGTAGAGGATAGTCTGGAAGAACACATGGGCTACCTACTTTTATTTCTTTTTAATTCCACGCGGACGGAGTCGCAGGCGGAAGCTAACTATTTAATAAATACATTTATTTATTTAAAAAAGTATGTATAGGTGTAATAACTTACTTAACCATTTAACAATTACGGTCAGATACTACGAATCTAAAAAGTTTCAACCTCCACATATCAACGAAGAAATTCAAAGATATGTGTGAAGTCAACCAACCCGCACTTGGCCAGCGTGGTTGACTATGGCCTAGTCACCCCAACTTAGGGTAGGTTCCAATCCTCTCGGTGGGGACGTACAGTGAGCTGTTGATGATGTTTAAAATTATATTGTTTTCAGTTATCTTGGCAGTCGCTGTGCCCGATCTCGAACTTTTAATAGGCCTCGTCGGCGCAATATTCTTCTCAACTTTGGGTCTATTTATTCCGATAGTCGTTGAAACCGTGCACAAATGGGATCGAGGCTTGGGCAAATTCAAATACATTCTCTGGAAGAATACGTTATTACTGTTATTCTATTTGTTAGTTTTAGTTTCGGGATGTTATTCAGCTATAAAAGAGATTGTAATAAAATATACATGAAATTTTGTTTTATTTTTTATACCATTGAAATGTAGATTTATAAACTAGTTGTCTTCTATTGGTCGATATTCGACAAAACCAAAATCCTTTAAGCGGGAACACACCTTTGACTAAACTATCGCAAAACCGTTGTGCGAGTGTCGATTGTTTCGAAGCCAAGAAGCCAAGCCAACTGTTTAGCTGGACAACTAGAAAACGATTCGTGTGTTCACTCTTTATAGATGAAACAGTTGTGCGATATTTTAAGACAGATAAATATTGCTTATGCTTTTATTTTAAACTGCACTTATGTTTAAAGTAAGTAAAACAATCTCAAAGAAGAAACATTTTAATATCTGTAACAAAGTGGCCAACAGTAAATCCAATGACAGATATGCGTCGTTAGGAAGCGAACCGCAGTCATAACTCGACGGTTTCAGGCTACGTGACTCGTGACGCAGAGAAATGAACATTAATTTGCAACATTCACGTTTAATTAACACAAATCTATACTAATATTATAAAGAGAAAAGATTTGTATTTTTGTATGTATCGAAATAACTCAAAAACTAAGCCAATTAAAAAATCTTTCACCGTTAAATAGTTGTGTTATCACTAAGTATCATAGGATTTTATTTTTATATTTTTTTAATTTCATGTAGACGAAGCCGCGACCAGCAGCTAGTAATAAAATAATCATACAGACGAATTTAAAAACTACTCTTTGAAGTCGGTTAAATAGCATCCAGGCTGCAGTTTAGATAAATAAAAATAATTAAAACACATACATAAGTGTACATAAATTGTCTTTTATAGGCCTGTGTACTCTCGCTGACTTTGGTTACCAAACACGTTTATTAAGAAGTTTTTATTTTGAACAAAATAGTTTAATTTTACTAAATTAAAAAAAAAAACTAAATTCAGATAATGAATAATATAAAATTTTCAAAGATTTACAGTTTTTTAAGGTTATTTTTAAACGGTCTCATACGAAATTACTTAACATATCGGCCGTCGTACGCAAGTTGCTCTTCAATCAGACAGAAGTGGCTCTTTAGAAATACATTTAGACGTAAATAGATTGTATTGTTTGGACCAAATAATTGTTTTTAAGATAATTGATTTTGGTTAAGTGCTACGACACGATGAATACGAAAACAATTGAAGAATTATTTTCACCAGATTGATTAGGATAGCGTAATGGTATTAGAATCTTTTACATGTGTTGTGTACCTATATAAACTATACTATCGCCCGCCCGCGACTCTGTCCGCCTAGAATAAAAAAATATCAAAAGTAAGTAGCCTTTGTGTTCTTCCAGACTGTATTCACATTTCTGTCAAATTCCATCGCTGTCCGTTCAGCAGTTTAGATTACAAACTGTAACAAACATCCATGCATCTATGTTTTCGCATTTATAATATTAAGTTGATTAAAATTAACTTAATAGAACATGAGTTTGTTTTTTTGAATAACATTAGTGTTGTTAAATAACAACAATATTTAATTTAATACACATGAGTGGCGACGATAGGTAAGATATATTTAGCATCTATGCTCGGTATCACGTTCGGCGACGTGGTGTAGGGGTGAGGAGTCGTGGGTGGCTAATATGAGCTTTGTCGTGTCTCTCCCTGTATGCAGTCCAGGTAACACTGAAGTTTCATGAACCGAATATTCTACTTCGTTTGATTTATTTGCAATTAATCATTGCTGCTGATAATTTTCTTTACAGAGTAGTCACAGAAATAGCTTTCTTCTGCGGCACCCTCTGCACGGAATTAAAAAAAAAAACTTAATAAGTACCACATGTTTTCTTCCAGACTATATTTCATCGAGATACGTTCAGGTAGTTAGGCTGTATTAGGCTGTACAATATTAAGATCTAAGCTAGTATTACGAGTTTATATGACACAGTTGATGGTTTCGCGTTATAAGAATTCGTGTTGTAGGTATCCTCGTATAACACTTTTTCCAACAGAGCAGAGCTATAAATCGCGTTATAGGGAATCATCGTATTGAATTTGTTATTCTATCGCAAATAAAATCAGTCCGGCTATTTTGGAATTAAAAGAATTTTCCTTAAAGGAAATTGAAAGGTGCCTTCATACGGAAGTTGAGAGTTAGTAATCTATATTTATACATATAATAAAATCGGAGTGTCTGCTTGTAATTTCAAAAGAAAAATCGCGGATTTCGAGGAGATGATGTATTTGCGTCGCTGATAACAAAAATCAACAAAAGTATTTGATTTTTTTTTGTCTGTTTGTCTGTCTGCTAGCCGCGTAAGGCTGTGCCGATTTTAATCGGACTTTCACTGAAGAGTAGCTGACATAGACAGGCATATTATAGGCTACTTTTTCAAATTCCGCGCTGTGAAAATGGCGTACAGGGTGGTCCAAATACGCGCTAACGAAGTTTGCGGGAGACAGCTCGTCTTTATTAAATGCCCTAGCACGTTTTAATATTTTGGTATGTTAATAAATGAAATAAGAAGTGAACGAGAGTTTTCTGAAATTTCTGCAGCACCGCGCCGTATCGAACTTGTTAGTAACTACTTGCGAGCACAAACTTTTACAACAAACCGTAGAAAAGTCGTTATGTCTTTATCTTTTGTGGGAGAACCAGAGGAAAGGCTGTCGTCCTGATGATGAAGATATCTCATAATGTGTCCATGTGATGTAAATGTTTATATCACACACACACACACAAATAGATAAGATGTACACAGTATCACACGTTTTACACTTAATATTATGTTACCAAAATGAGATCTGAATTAAACATTCGCGAAATTTTATTGTACTGTACTACTAGTGTTTCGAAATATCGTTTTGGTTTTCTTATAGTTTTATAACTAAAATGTTTGAGTAATGCCGAAAAATAGAGTTTGACTTTTGTTATTCTATGATCTTGGACATTTCCTTTTAGTGAGTTGTGAAAATAAACCTAGTTACCTTTTTGCAGATTCCTTAAGGGGAAATAAAAAGTGTGCAAAGAAGCATCAAACTTAGTCAGTATTTTGTCGGAAGGAATCCCTTTTATATTTGTATTCTATACAAATCTTAGCAAAGGGTATCGGTGGCCGCATAAATCAAAAGTTTAATCTTTTTGTTGCGGGTTACATTTTCCCGGCGACCCTTCGGTACGCATGAATGGTTTTATTTGCAAAATAATGATTAATTATTACATTCCATTACATTTAAAACAACATAAATGTTGTCTGATGTGAAATGTTCGAAATTTGCCATATTTGAAACAAATGAATACACATTTTCAACAGTAAAGTTGAGATTAAATTCTTTTCGAAATACTCCGCGGAGAATGCTTTGCAATTTGAAAATTTCAATATAATATTTTTATAATTGAAATTGAAATATTCATCGTGATGTTAAGCATGTCATAAGTGGGAATTATTACTGCAGTGATATATACTCATATTGTGTACACGAAGAACCTATACAAATTTTGGGGTCGTGGAGTTCTGATGTAACATAGAACATATAATATAACATAAATACAGGTAATGTTGATGTTCTGACAAAGATGTAACCCTCTCAAACCTGATAAAGGCATTCAATTTTGTGTTGCTGTTCATTAAATTGTAACATGGATTGCTTAAGAGTGATTTGGATTATTTTAAAATTGTTTAACGATCGGAATTATTAAGAGAATAGGAACATTGGAAGAGATATCGGCCGTAGATTTATCACAATATCTAACATGTTAGTAGAATTAGAACATGACAATATATTTCGGCGCGAGTATTCATGTGAACATTGCCTTAAGTATCTACAAAACTTATATATCATAGTTTGTACACATGCGAAGCTCGTTAGTGGGTAGACGACTGTCACAAGCGCACTTTAAGTTAACTAATTAGGCTTTGTACCTACAACGTAGATAAAAACATATGAATGCATCGACTACAAGCATCTGAAATGTAAATCAAGCGAGTTAATAAATACATTTTTGTGCTAAAGCACATGAAATAAATTTCACATTTATTAATTTAAATGTAATTTACATTTTGCTTGTATTTTATCACAGGAGTATTCAGTGATTTTAAGTGTGTTTTTTACCAACTTCACACCTTGATAGTCCGTAACTGCCCCATTGGACAGGATAACTAATGGCCATTCAGTTAGATCACAAACGAGTACTATCTAATCAGATAACAGTAGGGTTTTAGAATTTAGGTGTCGTCATCCTGGTCTGGGATCTCAATCTAAAAGAGCGGGAGCACATCGTTGACTAAACTATCGCACAATGTTGTGCGATTGTCGTTTGTTTTGCAGCCAATTCAACAGTTTAGTTGCACAAATATAAATCGAGTAGAGTGCGCATGGGAATCAAAGCAAGAGTAAACAGTTGAACAATAGTTCAAAATTGAATGCGCCATAAGATCAATAGTTAAAGATAATCAAAGAGCATAAATAAATGTTTAGTTAAACAGTGTCTTAGTATTTTGGAGTAATACAGAGAGTCTTTTAGATTTCAAGGATGGCATACAGTTTGACAACCCTCGCCTCAGTGTCATCGTCCGCTGAGTCTCGCGATAAAGCGTTTATGACGAGCAAAAGCCAAATCACACAGTACGGTACGCAATTTCTTCGCATCGGTTGTTTTAATAATTCTTGGTACATTTGTTATTTTAATATGAAGTCATTAACACAAACATTTAGGTGAGTTGTATTTAATAAGCACCCATTTTAATGTTTTTGAAAGAATGACGTCACAATTACGCTCTCCAATGTCGTTCACCTCTCGCGTTGGTATCTGTCAGTTTTATTTTTGTTGCATTAGCCGCTGCTGATTGTTATTTTTAAATTAAAAAGTCCTTCACTTACTTCACGCTTTAGGCTATATATTTTCACGCAGTTAAATTTAGGGGTAAATATTTTGGATAAAAACCCTAATGTGGGAAAGAGACCATAAGTTGTTGTCAACATCAACGTATGTTATTTCGTGCATTGAATAGGAGGCAGCACGAATGCGAAAAAGCATAATGTTAGTGACGAAATTTGTAAGAGATTTGTGCATCTTTTGTCCTCCGCTGACGTATACTATGAAAATCATCGGACTTTAGTCCTGGTATAAAATGGTTAAGGTAAAAGGTAAATGAAACGTGTTATGTGATCAGGCCCTTTGATTGTTGTGTTTACTCAATCCACAAAATTGTTTTCATTGTATAATATTACCCGTTATTTAACTTAAGGTCTGCGTGATTAAATTTTCTTAATGATCATCGCGTGACTAGGCTATAGTTAAAGTTTTCGTTAAGATGGAAATAAAATTTAGCCATACCGCTTATTTGATTTTTGTTACTTTCCTGGTTTACGTTATTGTTTACTTTACGGTATAAAACCAATAGAGATCACATAAAAATTGTTTTCAATTACTCAAAAAGCAATATATCAATATTGATGAAATATGAATTAATTTTTTTCCAATTCTATTTTAGGTCATGGACATTTTGCTGTGCTAATAAAAATCTAACTACAAAGGATCGCCAGAGGTTTGTTGACTGATTTTGGATACAATAGACTAATAACTTAACTGTTCGATGTTAAAGTTACGCTTAGGTAAACTTCAAACTGTTTTCACCGCGAAACGTTATTTATTTAAGATGTATAAATAAAACAATACATTTATTACAATGTATCTTCGTTCGATATTCGAAACTTCTGGAAAAACACTACAAGTATTTCTTACCATATGTAACACACACCAAACATATTCATAATGTAAAATTTAATTATCTACAAAGTTTCCTTTTAAGTTCATTTTTTTGATAAAGTCATCGTCTTACTTTTGCCAACGTAAATAAATGAAGAACATTTTATTTCAAAAACAAAAGTATGAAATATCATGTTCTGTAAAATATTACAAAGCAATTTGTGCATCACAGTCCTTTTCTGTTTTACAGGAAATTGCCATCGTTGTATAGAGTCTAAGTCTATAGTAGTTATATTCAATTTAAATTACAATAAGAAACAATAGTTTACATGACAAAATTATTCCATTATACTTTAAAACACAACACCATTGCAGAGAACAACATAGCTTCCAATTAACAATAGACAGAGACATGACATTGAGACTATATAAAAAGGCATCGCAAACTGACACAATCTGTTGCAAATTTTATCCGTCTGCTGGCGACTGCAGTGTGACAATGTTAGCAACTAAGGTTTTCCTGTTTATTCTGTTTTGTTACAGAGCTACCGCGGTTGTCGATGACAGATATTATCCACGCTACCACTTGGCCCCGCCGTATGGATGGATGAACGATCCTAATGGCTTCAGTGAGTTTAAAAATGAATACCACCTATTTTATCAATTCAATCCGTCTAGCAGTCTCGTACCTGGCATAGCACATTGGGGTCATGCTAAAAGTAAAGACTTTTTCCGCTGGGAACATTTACCTATCGCAATGTATCCAGATCAGTGGTACGATAAGGGTGGCGTATTTTCCGGAAGTGCTTTAGTTGAGAATGATAAACTATATCTTTACTATACCGGCAATGTGAACAAACCCGGTCAATATCCTGATCACCAACAACACCAAGTACTCGCAATTAGCACTAATGGAGTAGATGTTAAGAAAGAAAAGATTAATCCAATAATTAATGGAAGTAATTATCAGCCAGACTTTCGAGATCCTAAAGTTTGGAAGTATAGAAACACATATTATATGGTGGTAGGAAATTCTTTCCAAGACGAAGAGACCGATGCTATACTAGGTCGAGCTCTTCTATATACTTCTAAAGATAAAGTCAAATGGAACTTCGCTTCAGTTTTGGCTGAATCTGATGGATCTCTGGGATATATGTGGGAATGTCCAGATTTCTTTGAACTGAACGGTCGGTTCGTTCTTTTATTTTCACCTCAAGGAATACCTCCATCAGGATATAAATACAGGAATTTATATCAAACTGGATATATTGTTGGAGATTTCGATTACCAGACCAATATGTTCACTCCTAAAACTGAATTTGTTGAATTGGATTACGGCCACGATTTATATGCTACGCAAACAATTCTGGACAAAGCAAGACGTAGAATAGTAATTGCTTGGATGGATATGTGGGATCAGAACTATGCAGAAGCTGAGGACGGTTTTACCGGTCAAATGACAATTCCTAGAGAGCTATCACTAGACAACAATAATCGCCTAATTCAGAGACCTGTAAAAGAAATAGCATCAATCAGAGGACGAACGAGATTCTCTGGGAAGGGACGAGCAGGTGCTGAAATCAGACTCAGAGATAAAAGTGGAGAAATCCATATCAAATCATCGGGAACCAAAGATTTAGATATTTGGATCCAATCTACAAATGAATCCAGCAACGTTTTAATTAGCTATAACTACAAGAGAGGTATAGTCACGTTAGATCGCGGAGGAAAAGATGGCGTTCGTCGTGCTAAATGGAGACCTAGTGAACAATTAGATTTGAAAGCATACATTGATGCAAGCTCGATCGAATTATTCTTCGGTAATGGTGAAGTTACATTTTCTAGCAGATTTTTCCCTGCGGGACCAATAAAGGTACGGATAGGTGAATCAAATGACGTCGAGTCAATATCTGTCACTGACCTGCAACGTTCAATAGATGCCAGTTATAAAATAGAATCAGAAGATTAATCCATCACACAATATGTAGGTCTTGTCTAAAATGTAAAATAAAATATATATTCAAAGCAAATTAAATTATGGTTTTATTTTGTTTTTCCCTTCAAAGCAGCTTAAGTTAGCGGGGCATTTTATTAGCAACGAGATAATAATGTAGACTTTTTATTGTAAAAAAATTATTAGCAGTTTAGATTTGTATTGCAGATTATCTTTAAGATTAGAGCAAACTATATTTGGCATTGATGCAGAATTAGAAGAGTGAGACGTGATCGTGGTTATTAAGGGATGAAGGATACATCACGAAGAACGCAACGAGATTTAACGTAGATAACTACAAGAGTAGAGACCGTGTACGCAGTGTACTTAATATACTTTTATTCTATTAGCACTTCTTGAAATATTTTTAGACAACTGGTATGAGAGTTTATACCTCAGTGGTCCTTGAAATTCGCTTTATTACTTTAGCTTTGTGGTGAAATTATGTTAATGTGTTTTTAATGTCCTAAGTATTTCTATACGATAATTCTACATAGAATAAACGTTACGATTAAATATTCATAAGCGTTGAAAGACAGTAGACTTTTACTGCAAGCTTCTCATTAAACTTTGCATTAACATGCTGACTCTGCCGAAGCAAGAAGAGGTAAAACAAATATAAAATGTTCTTGTTCGGAAGGGACTTCGACGGAAAGGTAGGAAAGCACGCGGAAATGTTATAAGCCGCTAGAGAGAACAAAAATTAATACTGCATTCAAAAGATGGAAGTGGCAGTAACAAGCGTAAATGTATTGTTGTTTGTATTGTACTATTTTGTCATAACTTATGTTTGGGAACTATTAATACAGAGCGTATTTCTGGACCCCCCCCGTTAAAAATTAATAAATTTTAACTTTTCTCGGCTTACGCTGCCTAAACCGTTGGGGGTATATAAAAGTGATGTAATAAGGAATTGTAGAACTCATAAAGTTATACAGAAAAGTCTGTTAAAGCATATATCTATTTGTAACAGTTTTCTTACAATAATCACTTTTTTGTTTAAAAATGAATTAAAAAAGCGCATGCTATTTGCGTCGTTGTTTTATTGGTTTCAGTATCAATCCTTATCCAAATAAATGCGTTTGTTATCAAGAGAAATTATTGTAGAATAAAATTATCCTTACAGTATTTAAAATGGATAAATAGTTTAGAAGATATCACGAACAAACACAATAAGGATAACCGAAAAATCAGCTCACAAATTACCGGGCTTAGAAATATGGAATCTTGCATAGAGATTTTTGTTACTGTGTAAAGGTTTAAATAAGGGGAGAACGTAAATTTTGTACTTTTTAAATTGCACGCGGACGAAGAAGCGGGCAACAGCTAGTACATAATATTCAACAAGATAAGCATTCGTGATGAAGTACACAAAAGGGATAGGAGCGCTTTGTCTAATTGCGTTATTGTTAGAGATAGAAGTTAGAGTCCGTAAAATTATACTATACTAGCTGTTCCCGTGCGGCTTCATCCGCATGAAATTATGAAAATTTTATTTTACTGTTTACATTTGTCAAATTTCAAAGTCAAAATGACATGACATGATGTCAACCTTGCTTCCTTGATGTTGGCAGCAACTTATGGTCTCTTTCCCACATTAGGGTTTTTATCCAAAATATTTACCTCTTAAGTTTAACGACATCAAAATATATAGCCTAAACCGTGACGTAAGTGTAGACCTTTTTATTAAAAAAACATATTATTCAAAATAATACTGTAATTGCTGACATCTTAGGCAACAAAAAAGTGTGTGTTCATGCTTTGTTATAATAGTATAGATAAAACTGGTGATAAAACATATTGGTAACTCCTTTTTTCAATAAAAATAATAAATTAATATGCTAATAAAGTAAATAAACCAGAAATATGGACAAATAATGTATGATAATAATTACCTACTTTTAGGCTTACGCGTAACGTTACGTATCGTAACGACATAATGTTTCATTATCTCAGTATCCGAGAGATTATTCATTAATACAAATATTCGTGAACACATTTTCGTAACGGCAGCAAAATTTGTATTAGAGCAGCAACAAATATCAAAATTACGTTAATGACTTCTTGCAAATGTCACGCAATATTTTAGTGATAGACCCTCACGGCATATTTTTATTCATCATCGAATAACTTGTTACTACTGGACTGTGTCCTTGTAATATATTTTTTTTATGAAAAGGTTGGTGGATTTTTGTTAATTTACTAATATGGTTCACGACAATAGTCGAAAGGTGGGATTCGAACCCTTGACCATGAGTAACATATATTTTCACTTTTATCTCAAGTCACGCGGGCGAAGTCGCGAGCAACAGGTAGTATAAAACAAAGAAATTAATTATCACATTAACCGAGAAGTTTTAGAAAGACGGAAGATCTACAAAGTTTAATTATTAGAACAAGTTATCATCTTACTTTTACCAACATAAATAATTGAACAATATTTTATTTAAAACAGATGAGCATGATATTTTCTAAAGCAATATCATACGGCATCACAGTCCTTTTCTGTATTACAGGAAATTGCCATATTTGTATAGAGTCTAAGTCTCCAGTATATTCAATTTAAATTACAATAAGAAACAATAGTTTGCATGACAAAATTATTCCATTATACTTTAAAACACCGTTGCAGAGAACAAAATCGCGTTCAAATAACAATTAGACAGAGACATGACATTGACACTATATAAAAAGGCTACTCGAGCTGAAGTAATCTGTTGCAAATTCTAACCGTTTGCTGATCGACTTCAGCGTGACAATGTTAGCAATTACGGTTTTCCTGTTTATTCTCTTTTGTTACAGAGCTACTGCGGTTGTCGATGACAGATATTATCCACGCTACCACTTGGCCCCGCCGTATGGATGGATGAACGATCCTAATGGCTTCAGTGAGTTTAAAAATGAATACCACCTATTTTATCAATTCAACCCGAATAGCAGTCTTGTACCTGGCATAGCGCACTGGGGCCATGCTAAAAGTAAAGACTTTTTCCGCTGGGAACATTTACCTATCGCAATGTACCCAGATCAGTGGTATGATAAGGGTGGCGTATTTTCCGGAAGTGCTTTAGTTGAGAATGATAAACTTTATCTTTACTATACCGGCAATGTGAACAAACCCGGTCAATATCCTGATCACCAACAACACCAAGTACTCGCAATTAGCACTAATGGAGTAGATGTTACGAAAGAAAAGATTAATCCAATAATTAATGGAAGTAATTATCAGCCAGACTTTCGAGATCCCAAAGTTTGGAAGTATAGAAACACATATTATATGGTGATAGGAAACTCTTTCCAAGATGAAGAGACTAATAGTACACTAGGGCGAGCTCTTCTATATACTTCTAAAGATAAAATCCAATGGGACTTCGCCTCAATTTTGGATGAATCTGATGGATCTTTGGGATATATGTGGGAATGTCCAGATTTCTTTGAACTGAACGGTCGTTTCGTTCTTTTATTTTCACCACAAGGAATACCTCCATCAGGATATAAATACAGGAATTTATATCAAACTGGATATATTGTCGGAGATTTCGATTACAAGACTAATATGTTTACTCCTAAAACTGAATTTATTGAATTGGATTACGGCCACGATTTATATGCTACGCAAACTATTCTGGACAAATCAAAACGTAGAATAGTAATTGCTTGGATGGATATGTGGGATCAGAACTATGCGGAAGCTGAGGACGGTTTTACCGGTCAAATGACAATTCCTAGAGAGTTATCACTAGACAAATATAATCGCCTAATTCAGAGACCCGTAAAAGAAATAGCATCAATCAGAGGACGAACAAGATTCATTGGGAAGGGACGAGCAGGTGCTGAAATTAATCTCAGAGACAAAAGTGGAGAAATCCATATCAAATCATCGGCAAACAAAGATTTAGAAATATGGATCCAATCTACAAATGAATCCAGCAACGTTTTAATCAGCTACAACTACAAGCGAGGTATAGTGACGTTAGATCGCGGAGGCAAAGATGGCGTTCGTCGTGCTAAATGGAGACCTACTGATAAATTACATTTGAAAGCATATATTGATGCAAGTTCGATCGAATTATTCTTCGGTAATGGTGAAGTCACATTTTCTAGCAGATTTTTCCCTGTGGGACCAATAAAGGTACGGATAGGTGAATCAAATGACGTCGAGTCAATATCTGTCATTGACCTGCAACGTTCAATAGATGCTACTTATAAAATAGAATCAGAAGATTAATCCGTCACAGATTTATTTCTTTCTAAAATGTAAAATAAAATATATTATTCAAAGCAAATCAAATCATGGTTTTATTTCATTTTCCCTTCAAAGTAGCTTAAGTTAGTGGCGCATTTTATTAGCAACAAGATAATGTAGACTTTTTATCGTAAAGCAATTATTAGCAATTTTGATTTGTATTGCAGAATATCTTTAAGATTAGAGGAAAGTATACTTGGAATTAATAGGGGATTAGAAGAGTAAGACATGATCGGGGTATGTTAAAGGATACAACGAAGAACGCAATGAGATTTTACCTTGATTACAAGAGTAGAGACCGTGGACGCAGTGTACTTATTAAATTTTTATTATATTAACACTTCTAGAATTTTTTTTGACAACTGGTATGACAATTTATCTCACTACAATGGTCCTCGTTGTATTCGTTATACACTCAAACAGCTTATTTTTATTTCATCATCACAATCATCATCAAAATAAATTTTTACCACTGGACAATGTCCTTATAATAAAACAATTATTAATAAATTTGCTTTTTTCATGCAATATCGATTCAAGTTATATTTGACTTTGAATCTAAAAAACAGATTGATTTCAAATGTTTTATCATTTTGTTGAAGTAAATATTTACATGTATAAAGCTATATTTCATTTTGCGCATGCGTTTGGTCCGAGACGTATTAGTTTGGTCACAGTCGTTTAAAATCTCACTCGGTCCCGACGCTTTCCGTAAAAGCGCACAAGTTCAGTGTTGTTCGAAATCTGTCCAAGTTCCGTTCTCGCGACCGTTGTTTCAAAGTTAAGTATAATAAACAAAAATTCGTGGTAAAGTAATGTTTTCAAAATAATGTTTATATTAAGTGTAGTGTTAAATTAGTGTGATTTTTTTACTTTCTCGTAGTTGTAAATATAGTGTTGTGAGTGAATAACTATTATCAATTTAAAGTTTATTAATCTAATGAATTTAATCGTGTATTTAGTGTAAGCAGTCTATACGACAGTGGAATTATGGTTCATATTCATTGTAACTTAAATACAATTTGTGAAAACTTAATATAACCAAAAGGTAAGTTTAGAAAACTATACATAATTAAGTTTAAGTTACAAATACGTTAATGTAAAGTTAATTAGTGATTATTATACAACTTTATTTATTTCCTAGTTGTCGATTGCGACTCTGTCTGCGTGAAATTAAAATAATGGTTAAGTAGCCTGTGTTCTCTAGACTATGCTCTCCAACTTTCGTGGAAATCTGTTCAGGCGTATAGAAGATACCTTTTAACAAACACTAATCCATCTAAACTTTCGTATTCTTAGTAAAATTTTATTTTATTTAAGACTAATAAATTAGCATAAATAACTTATAAGAGGTACTTTGTTATTTTTTTTAAAATATGTTAAAAGTTTTGACTAGCGATTATTATATACATATGTTATTTGAAATGAGATTATTTTTTACTATCAGTTCCTCACGATTTCGTCCGCGTGAAATTAAAAAAAAAGTAAAAGATATGGCCTATGTCACTCAGTGAAGGTGTAGCTTTTTAATGGTGAAAGAATTTTATTATCGTCTCAGTAGTTTTTGAGTTATTTCAATACATGCGAAAATACCAATATTTTCTCTTTACAATAATAGCATAGAGATAAGACAAAGGAGTAAACGAACTAAGGGAACGCCAAGGTGATCAAAGACAACCATGGACATTCGCAATATCAGAGAAACTACAGCTGTGTTGCCCGCATTTTAAATAAAGTTTACATTTAAAATCCAGTGTTTAAATTTAGTTCTAATTAATAAATAAAAAGATCATAAGAGCAATAAAATTATTATCTAGTAGCTCTCGTCCGCGACTCCGTCCGCGAGATATTAAAAGAAACAAAAGAGAGTAGCCAATGTGTTCTTCCAGACTATCCTGTACATCTATACCGAATTTCATCAAACCGTTCAGGCGTTTAGGCTACAAACCATCTAAACATTCGCATTTATAATATTAGTATGATCAGTATGATTGTTTTGAGGATGAATATTTTTTGTACTCAGCTACAAAGAAAGTCATGAAAATGATTTCTAAATCGATCTCAAATTATTATTGATCCTTAGTACTTCGTACTATGTTGTTCATTTATTGCTCTCAGTACGTCCGACGATTCGAGTAATCTCTGTTGTTCTATTACTTATATCCGTTTTGAACTACTATTGGTTACTACCATTGAGTACATTTACACATGAGTGATATCCCAAAGGTAAATTCTAGGCTAACATTGTTGGTACGACATGACGGACGTTGTTTCAATATCCGGAATTGTTACAATAGCCTTTGAAGGTGAACTTTGTTTCGAGGAACTTATGGTATCACTGGCTGTACATTTCGTTTAATTGTCAGTTACATTTGGTCATTATGTATGTATGATCGAGCTGAATATCATTTTCCACTAATACGAAGCTACGATAATTCCCACAGAGTTTAAAATTCTTAGGAATATTTGGACATGTCTCCACCTTACTAACATAAATGCGAAAGTTTAGATGGATGGATGGATGTTTGTTAGAGTTTGTAGCCTAAACGGCTGAACGGATTTCGATGAAATTTGGCATAGATGTAGAGGATAGTCTGGAAGAACATATAGGATATTTGCATTTGCTTTTTTAACTCCGAAAATTAGTAGATAATAAAAAGGTTCTTTAAAAAAAACCCTTAAAAGTTTATGTTTCTTGTTATGTTATGTTTCTTGATAGGTAATGTAATAAATAGCCAAGGTTTAAGAATGAAAGTATTAATGAAGAATAAAATAATTTTTATGTCGCAAGAAGATTTTTTTTTTAATTTGACTTTTTAATACACGAACGACATATACTTGACAGATAATTAATATTTAAGTGTATATTTTAAGGGACGAAAAGATCAAAAGGGAATTTCTATATATTTTGTAGTCGCCCTGTCCTGGCCACTCATGTAAAGTCGGCCCACAAGATATTATAAACCTGAATGTTTTACGTTATTTTTACATCCGGCCGCCTTCCTGTCGCCAACCTATATAATATCTTACTAATATTGTCAATGCAAAAGCTTTAATGAATGGATGATTGTTTGTTAGAGATTGTGGCGTAATGGGTCTCAATTAAATTTAGCGTAAATATAGAGCATACTCTGGAAGAACACATGTACTACTTAGTTTTTAATTACACGCAGACGGAGTCACGGGCATAAATAGTTTCAAATACACTTTGAGTATACTAAGTAAATACAATACATCGAACAAAGATCTTTCTTGTAATAATGTACTTAAACAAAACCAATATCGGATGTTATTTTTGTGTCAATGTTTCTGTTCTTTTATGACAAGAACTGTACGTTTATGTAGGAAACAATTTCAACATTGTTGAGAAGTAAGATATCCCAGTTTGTTGGACAACTACAAATTGCTTTTTAATCCCGTCAAGTCAGACTTTCCAAGGTTACTGTCAGGCGCCAGTCTCCCTCGGCTGCTACATTGACTTCCAACTTCGTTCTTCTAGTGAATTAAGTACCTTAATTGAATGGACAATAACTATTTTATTATAGCAAACATGGAGGAGACCAATCTGACGCTGACTTACAATGTCAGCTCATTATTACTGTCGAGGAATCCGTCTAGCGCGACAACGATGGTATCGGTTCGCAACACGACCGTTGTCAGCAACGCGTACGAATGGCGGTTTGTTCTCCCGCCGTACTTCATCATCTTCATGCTTTCGATATCTGGGAATTGTCTTGTTATTACAACGTTAGCGAGCAATCGACGAATGAGAACTGTCACTAATGTATATTTATTAAATTTGGTAAGTTTACTTCAAACATTCTGTTCAATAAATAATATAACTCAAACTACAGTAGAGTTGCCATAATATTTAATGATTAAGTGTAGAAATGGTATAAAAATAATACCAAATTATACTTTAGCGATCACATAATGACTTTGAGTGCGGCAGTTTGTTAATATATTAAGAACTAAAACACATGATATAACATAAACTATACGGATGACAACGTCGATATATCCTTGATGTTTTTAAACTCTTTTAAAATGTATGCTGTTACTTTAGAGATTGATTACTTTCCATACAATATGCATCATAAACAAAAATATCTAACAATTCGAATTTATATTTGGATTTTGTCCATAAAACATTGCTTAATACGACTGTTATGTTTTAGGCGATTTCAGATTTTTTGCTCGGCGTGTTTTGTTTACCTTTCACGTTAGTTGGACAAATATATAGACGGTTTCTATTCGGAGGGATTTTGTGCAAACTGATTCCTTATTTGCAAGGTAAGATAATTTTACATTTAACATACATGTTTCTGGCTAACCGAGACTGGTGTTGGTAGGACCATCAATACGGAATTTAATCAATACTGCGGTCCACTCGTATATGAATTCAAAACGGGAATGCTTCTCGCTGTAATGATTTTTGTAGTTAATTTTAGACTAGCACTGATACCTTATTTTATATAACGCTCATGTTAAAATTTATTTTCGCGTTGTTAACAAGTTTAACGTTGTATGCTTTTTATAAGTTACGGTATAAGATTTAAAGATAAATTCTACCAATGGATTTATCATTTCTCTATTCCACTCTAGGTTCAACTCGTAACGTTGTAATTTGTCACAGTCTATACATCTCTTCTATTGTGTTTTTTTTTATATTATACTAACGAGGGACCTCAACAATTACCTAAAAATCAAAGCGACCGTTGCCCATTAAAATTAGTTAGTTGCAATGCTACGTTTAAAAGACAGTTTAAACGTAGCAGTAGTTTTTTTAACAGTGGTAGTGCCCGATTTAACATCTTAGCACGAATGGGCCGGCACGCCCGGTGTAATACCACGACCACACAGAAGACAGGCGTGAAATGGAACCAATGCCGTGTTTCGTCTGATGAGTGTGGTGCCGGAGGCCTAATTTAAGTCCCTTTCTCTTTACCACCCTTTTCTTATAAGGAGAGGTTGGGAAGAGGAAGTGGATTTGACGGTGGAGGAGATGCATAGGAAGGGGAAATATCCTCTTTATGTGCGTCTCCTCCTCCGTCGTATAAGGGTAGGCAACGCATCTGCAGTTGCTTGCTCGTTTGCCACCTTATGTTATATAAAAAAAAGACAAAAGACGCACAGAAAATTCACACTTCTTTTGTATAGTTTCCTTCCACTTCGTCTTACCGTGCTTTTTGTTCTAAAATAGTGGACAGGAAAGGGACTGAAACGATCTTCTGTGTGGTGGGTGGGTGATCTTCGTGGTATAGAACAGTGCGAATGAAACTATTCATGCATAAAATATTATTCCGGACTACTTCTGTAAAGCTATGTTACACTATATTTAATTTTTTAGCTGTATCAGTATCGGTGGATGTATGGACTCTAGTAGCTATATCTCTGGAGAGATATTTTGCAATATGCCGGCCGTTGAAATCTAGGAAATGGCAGACACAATGCCACGCATACAAAATGATCGGTATGGTTTGGATTCTATCTCTTGTTCTAAATGCGCCGATATTAATTGTCTCAACGTTACAACCTATGAGAGGAAATGGTAAGAATATTTAAACAAATGTAATAAACAATGAAATTAATATTTGACTTTAACGATTACATTTCAGGTAAAACACAACTTGATTTAATTAACTTATTCTTGGCTTATGTTTGGTTTTATTAGCTTAATAATGAATAGAGTTTGTTCTGTTGTTTGTTTTAAGCATCTTATCAAATATTAGCAACTTTTTCGATGCTGTTGAAAGGGTCATTATTATTCCATAACGTGAAACGTAGAGTATAGTTTTCTTTTTAATGTACTTTTATGCGTTTGATAAAATGTTTGTGATTGATTGTTCTTTTATATTCATATATAAATTTAAAATTTTAGCGTACAAATGTAGGGAGGTTTGGTCCAGCTTAGAGTTGGAGAGGGCCTTTAATCTGGGTTTGGATGCAGCGTTACTTCTGGTCCCATTCTTTATAATGTCGTTCGCGTATTGTCTAATAGTCACGAAGCTGTGGCGAGGCATGAGACATGAGATTCAACATAATTTCAACTGGCAAAAAACTCGTAAGACAATTTTTTTCTTATAACTCTTAAATTGGACATTCTTGCTAAAATTTATAAAATGTTAAGCTATTAAATTAAATTAACTTTTTTAAAATTGATATTAATAATAGAAATGTTTAGTTACTAGAGAGGAATCTTGCAAAAGCAATCATTTAGGCTCACGGACGCCAACTTTGAAGAGCAAGGAGAGGGATGTTTGCTACAGGGACACTTGGGGATCGAAGAGTGTAACCAAGGTAAGTTAGAACGATTTAATTAAACTGTAAATATCTTTAATAATATGTTATTATTTATAAATGCTCTTAAATAAGACTATAACGTCGGCGCAGTGGGTTACACCTTGGTCTTGCTATCTAGAATCCGTGGGATATATACAGTCGGGAAATCTGGTTGTGCCCGACCGTAAAAAGACGGCAACGTGAGAAAAAAAACAATAGAAGGCAGCTATTCAATGTGTCTGTTCGAAAAAAGGTCGGTCAGTAGTACGCGGGTAATTGCTTTTACATCCGTCTTTGCGCAACAGACTGCTATCTTGTTGGATATTTGAGGCGGGGTTCATCTTGTTAAAAGGAACAAGGCAATTTCAAATATAGAACACCGCAGAATCTCCCGACTGTACTTTATTTTATTAAGTCAACATCATAAAAGGTCTTCATCTTAGCTATCAATTCAGAAAAATGCTACTTTTGATGCAGATTATGAAAAGAATTTTTTGAATAAGGAAAAATTTCCTTTATTTGAAACAAGCAATAAAATACGCTCTCCTTGTTATGCAGCCACTTGTAAAGGTAATATGGGGATTACTAACGAAACAAAGTAACACTTTGATAGGTAGTTGATATAGTGGAATAAATGGAATGATATTCAGGTTCATGATTTTTTCTAGGTTATACGTAATTAAAAAGATTCACATGTCTCTGATTTACATTTATTATAGCAACAGGAAAACTACGAAGTCGATGCGGACAAGAAGGAAACGTATTGCATGCATACTGACATTGAATTTCGACATGTGGTGCGTTCAACACACATTGATAAAAGTATTGAAGCTAAGCGTAAGGTAATGATTAAAATAAATAAATAACGTTTTTGCTGTCGTAATAAAATACAGTGTAATAAAAAACGTATATGAATATTTGTAAGAGATGGCAAAAAGGAGGAGGCTCAGCTAAATTCATAATGGTTGAAATCCAGTGTCAAGCTGTTTTTCAGCCACTTCTCTTCAGTTAGCGTAATAAATAAACTCGTGATGATAATTTCCTTTCTCAAGAATTTTCATGCATGATTTCTTAACATATAAAATGACAGTACAAGTATTTAACCGTGCGGTAATACTTGTACGATATTCCGGTTCCAATCGCGCCTAGCGGATCCCCGCGGTAAACGATCCACTTTAGTTTCACTTGCAGTGCGCCAAAGAAATTTAATAAATATACAGACTAGACATAGGGAATAACTTTTTTTCACCGGTAACTTCTTTGCAAGGTACTATGTTAGTTGTTAAGTTTGGTACGCCACTTCATGTCTATGCACCTTAACCATTTAAATTTTATTTAATGACAACTATTGGCAATTAATTTAAATACTATTAACTATTGTGACATCTGTTTTGAGGACCTATCAATAAATAGCGTTAGTGGATCATGTGAAAAATGTCTCAAATGAAGGATCGACTATGCTTCCTCTATTTGTTTTTGGAATCTATTTGCAGCGCAGATTTCTTTTTAAAATATCACCTCAAATTTGTCACTAGCTGCTCGCGGAAATTGTATAGCATCGCGTGACCTACTTCCACGCTTTTAATATAATTTATAAATAGTAAGGGCCTGTCCCACCACTGGTTGAAGAGGCTCATATAGTTTAACAATGACGTTGCTGCCAGATAAGGGAACAAAATCCGATATTTCTATCATGCATTTTACACGTTAGATTGTTATCAGACAATTTGCAATTTGGTGGGACAGACCCGATATAATTTAAAATAATTTAGAATATTATCACAATGTTTTCTTGCAGGTTATCCGAATGCTGTTTGTTATTATCCTAGAATTTTTCGTCTGCTGGACTCCATTGCATGTTATAAATACGGTAAGTAAAACTTTTCGACAAAAAAGACATCTAAAAGCTTTACTTTAATTACGTTCAATAAAGTTTCTAGAAAGTTGTTTACAATTTGTGACACCCCTGATGTTTGTATCAAGGTCTATCGTAAAATGTAAACAGTAAACATATGCTAGATATAAACAGCTTTTAGGTTTTTTAATGCTTACGGTTGTCAGATTTTCTTTTTATACTACACAGTAAAATTTCAATATAGTTGTAAACCCTTTATTGATTCCCTTATCTGTCATAGTAAGAACTTGATTTCTTGACTGTCTACGTAAATACTTTGTAAGATTTTCTTTTTATTGAATGCCAAATAAAGGGCAATACTATTTGAACAGATACATTTCCTTGTAAACATTGAAATGATCGTTCCAGATCTATTTGTTCTATCCTGACGAATTGTACAAATACGTTGGATCGAAGGGTATCGTATCGCTACAACTTCTGGCGTACTGCTCATCCTGCTGCAACCCGATTACGTATTGCTTCATGAATAGAAAATTTAGACAGGCGTTTATCAACTTGTTGAAAAGTTGCAGATTGTTTAAGTAAGTTTGTTATATAGATGTATCGAATATGTATTTTCCACTTATGTTTTTTATAGCTCTTTCATAGCTACAAATTTTCCACATGACTAATTTTGTGGCAGCAGTCTTTCAATTTTTTTAATGGTATATCTAAATAAATTACAAACTCTAACAAAAATCCATTGAATCATCTACACTTTCGCATTTATAATATTAATAAGATATCCAGTATGTCCGCTCTATAATTTTACATTTGAATCTCTCTGGATGGTATACTCCAGCTTTCAAAATGAAATAAGTATTGCAGGCGGTGTTTCCCAGACAAGTCGGAATCTGGTAAGCAGGTTACGCCGCCGCCGTCCAGTCAGGACGCTACTGCATGCGTTGTAAGGGGCAGCCATACTGGACGCACAGGTACTATACTTTTGTATTAAAAGTACTACAATATATAGGGTATAATACCGTCCAACTTTGAATTTAATTAGTAGGTTTGTGTCCGTTCTGAAAAAATATTCATTTGTTACGACGTTAATGTATAACGACAATAGCCTAATGCTTTGTGGTACGGATTACCGATCTTGCGATCGAGGTTTCGAATCCCTCCGTTCGATTATTGTCATGAACCATTAGCACAAGCCTAAAGCTTAGTTGTGATGGTTAAAGGAAATATTATTAAATTAACGAAAAACTACTAATGTTTACTATATTATGTTTTATTGTGTAGAGCTGGATGGACTGGAAGGAGAGGAGTGTGTTTAGCAGCGGCTCACACAGCGGTTCGCACAGCACGGCTCTGGGCAGCGGCGGCCTCCCCGCGCATCCCGCACTACCCGCGCCCGTCATCTCGCGTCCTGTCACTCAAGTGCGTATCCCTCTTAATAGAGGAGTTATCACGAAAATTCATGGGATTTTCGTAACGTATTCGACAACATCTGCATACTTTTTGTACAGTACAATTTAAGTAATCTCAGTAAATCACCAAATATATTCTCGCAACTGTGTTGCAAATATTCGTTATTTACCTTCACTATAATAACATCTTGTTGACGTATGTATGCATCGCATTACTTCAATAACAAAGTTAAATTTTTAAGTTAGCGAAATTTAACTAAAGTGTGATTTGATATGTAATTATTATACTTAATTCAATGTTTTTGAGAGCAACATAAATTAACTTGTCTTAATAGAAATCAGATAATAAAAATTCATTTATTATTATTAAATAATTTAATACACATAAAGTGTTTTGTTATATGGAGAGATATTTCTTAAAAGCTAGAACTTCCTTATATCGGTATGACGTAAATTTTGATAAATCTTTTAATCCTTTCACGTCAGGTAATAGAGACAGGAGAAGAAGGCAGCCAATTCCTGTATCGTATAACTTGGCCCAGAACCGCTCAGTCCAAGGCCAATGTGCCCGCACACCCACTATATGAGTAAAGTTTAAAACTGAGAGTTAAGTGAATTTTGTGAAGTGAACATTTCCATCCCGCTTCGTGAATTTATACTCTAAATAGTGATTATACGAAGTGCTCAAAAGGTAACTTAAGTGTAGTGATATTAAGATGTTTTTTAATTGTATTTTATTTATTATTATTATAGCTATTTGTAATTAGCAAGTGAAAACGAATTATATCTAAAAAAAAACTATTATAAAAATAAGGATCTAATTGTTATTAAATATCTACAAAATTTATGTAAATTTGTGTTTATTTATTATGTTCAAATAAGTGATGGAAGCTTTAGCATATTTGTAAACCTAAATGTATATGTATATTTCTACATGTAAAAATAGTTACGTACTATGTCTATGATGCGTTTTTAAAAATTTATTTATATTCCGTGTAGCTTTTTTCATATATAAATATTCATTAAAAATGTGTTCCAATTTAACTGTTTTTAAAAACAGTAATTTGTATTAAAATAAGATGTAAATCAGTTTATTAAAACAACGATTGTATATACAGAGCTTTAGTCGTACCTGATTTTAAGAAATGTATATATTTGAATTTAAAAATTGTTAATCCATAGTTTAAAGCAACGAACGGCCGAATATTAAAACAGCGGCTTAAAAAATACTCCACTTCAAACACTATTTGAATACTGACGTCAGATTAGTATTTCAGATTATTTTCAGTATTCGACAGTAAGGGTTTCTAATCTGTATACGACTAACATTATATAGGCATAATTTGATGTAAATAGTAAACTAAATTCATGCATTAGAATTTAAATATTTATAATTAAATACTATGAGTATTAACTAAATATGCAAACGATTTTGTAAAGACTTAGTTTGTGCGAGATTTAGTGATTGATACTACGAGTAAAGCCCGATACACACGTTAGATTTATCTGAACGAAGTTACTGTTCAGATAAAACTGAGCGTGTGTTGCGGGCTTAAGTATTTGAATTATAGATGACAGTTTGTTTTTGTACAAGTGCTTTGAATGTCAATGTATCCCTAAAATGTGGATAAACACTGTTTTAATGATAAGCCCGATTATTCCGATATCTGTGATTGTAACAATTTTTCAAAATTATTTATGTAAATAATTAGTGCATTTGGAGTGAGATAAATTTGTTTTAAGCTTTAATATTATTTTATCTGTTTATATTATTTTCCTAGTATATAAATATTAACTCGTATAAATGAAATTAAAAAAAAAACATATTGATGTTCTATATTTGAATGTACTCGTATTATGATAAAATAAATGTATTGAATTCAGAATATTCGAGTTTTTTTTTTCTTATAATTGATATTGGCAGTCATTTTCAATATTACAATTTTCTTTTAAATTTCTAATCATCCTAATATAATATTAAGTTAAATAATTATTAGATAGGTTAGAAAAATCTATGAATATTCATTCATCATACAGTTATATGCTCGTATTTACTATCTACAATTAAAAAAGTCTTGGAGTTTGTTTCTTGGTAATTTAATTAAATAAGCCAGCACAATCTGTTCAAAAGAGATTTTTCAATTCTCGGAAATTCGTATTTTTATGATCTTGTTGTGCTGAATGGAACTGCCGCTTTCGCTTTGTGAAAAAGAGAAAGCTTAATAATGTATTGGGTAAAAATATCCGTAGAAAATTCCGTATTTATGCTTTAATATTATTTGTACGAGCGTCGGTGACTCAGTAATTTGACTTGTATTCAACAGTTCTTGGGTTCGAATCCCGCTATGTACCAATGTGATTTTCGATTTTTCTAATTTGATATGTACACAATTTACCCGATGTTCAACGGCGAAGGAAAACATCATGATGCAGCCTGCACATGTCGACGAAGAAATTCAAAGATATGTGTGAAGTCAATTCGCAGTGCAGAATGGTTGACTAAGGCCTAGTCACTCTTACTTAGGGTAGGTAGCCTCTCAGTGGGGACGTATAGTGAGCTGGTGATGATGATGGTGAATATATGTACGCGTAATGTCAACTGTTTTTCGAAACCCTTGTTTTTAGATCCATTTGGATCCTTTGTGTATATCGAATCAATCAATCATTATTGATATCCATTGATCTTGTTTATAATGTTTCAATAGGATATAAATTATATTTTCCGTCCCCAGACCGTAATTAACCCGATGTAGCGAGTTTACATCAGCGCTTATTGAGCTTCAATAGATTCGAAAACTCAACAGATTGTTCGTTGAAAGTAAATTTGATGAAAATTAAATTATTTTTCTATGAACACATTCAATACTGCATTACATTCACGTACAGTTGCGGAAGATCGCGGTGTTACTTGCAGAGAAATTGCTTTGTAAGGAACAACAACAAACACCGCCTCTTCTTATAAATAACTAATTAGGAGGAGAGGAGGGAGGTGAGTTGTTCAAACAACGAGACAATAGTAAAAAGCAATTAGCCGTGTACTGATAGAGACTTTTTCGTACAAACACATTTAAAAGTTGCTTCCTGTTAGTTTTTTTAAAGTTCCAATGTGTATAAATTGTTTAAACCAAACCGCGCGCCCCTCCCGCGATTCGGCCCGTATGATTCGAGGGTAGGTGGGGCCATGGGTGGTAGTGGGCTGAACAGTAAATCGTTTAAACGACTACAGCCCTAAAGATAGAACATAGAATGCAAATTCTCATTATACCAATCCTATTTTATCATTTTAATATTGCAAGGCGTGGGAATTATTCCAAGAGAGCAACGGGTCAGCTGATATACAAGTATGAAACATTCTGGTTGATTTAATTAAGATACTAGCTGTTGCTCGCGACTTTGTTTCAGTGAAATAAAAAAAATTAAGCAGTATAGCCTATGTAACTCTGTGATATCGTTGCTTTTATTGGCGAAATTAATTCAAATCGGCCCATTACTTTATGAGTTATACATGCATTTTTGTATGTATATGCAATGTAATGCAAATCTTTTCTCTATATAATGTTAGTGCAGATTATTAATGATGCAAATATGGACTTAAACAACAATACTCATCTGTTTTTCATTAAATTATTTTGCATATTGAAGACTGAAGTAAAACATATAACTGTTTAAATAAATATTTGAACACAGTTAATTAAAAATATTTAAGTAGCGATAGAAAATCTATAGAGAATATGGAACAAATAACCTCTTCGATATCTCATGTACATTTATAATTAAAAAGTTATAAGATTTTTTTTTGTGTAACAGAAATCAGTGTTTTATTTGCAGTTATTGCGTTATTTCTCTGCATTTGTTTTTTTTTCTCATAGTTTCCATGTTTGTACGTATTTACTACAATCGTTTGTCTTTACACATTGAGACGACAATGCAGAAAAAATTTTAAATATTAGACGAAAAATGCCGACTAGTGGTCCACAAATAATTGCTTTTTATTATTGAAAGACTTCCAAAAGAAGGAGGTACTCTCGTCTGTATGTTTTTTATCCCATCGTTTGAGCAACTGATTACTACCTAATTCGTTATTTGTTAGTAGACGTAGCTTGTCTTGTTGCGTACAAGGCAATATTTTTGTAAGTTTGACACCGACAATTTCCGTGGCTGTACATTAGGCTACGTCATCTTATAGACGGTGTTGTGGTTACAAGTAAGTTCAAGTTTCAAGTTTTCCAATTACAGTAGAAATTAATTAGAGTTAAAGAGACAAAATAACTTTGAAATCTTCTTGGTGACTCAGAAAATCGTCTGCTCAATATTACTTCACGCAATTGCTATTATTTGAATTGAGTTTATTCAAAGTTTCAGAAACTACTCTTGTTTTTTTTTCATCCAAAATTTAAATAATGTTCCTCCAGTACATAACCGTTTTGAGATTCATTGTTACAAAAGACTTTATCTTCGTAAGAGAGATGTGAAAACTATTTTTTTAGACTAGAGATTAATTTATGCCATTAATTTTATGCATATTATTTCCACATATTATGCAGTGAATTTACATTTTATGTGCTTTTAAGTTATCAATCAATACTTAACATAATAAAGCACACTGTTTTGTGGATCCTACGCCATCAGCAAGCACAGCATATTTTTGAATAATACTCTCTTTAAAAAATAGCCCTACACTCACGACACGCTTTAGACTATATTTTCACGCTATTAAATTCACATGGTAAACAAATGTGAAAAAATCCTTCATGTGGGAAAGAGACCATAAACAAGATGCCAACATTAAGGCTGCAAGGTTATTATGGTAACGGTAATTGTTATCAAATGTCAAGGGCCTTCGTTGTCATTTATGCATGCATTTTGACATTTGCAATTGGGAAATTTGACAAATGTAAACAATGAAATAAAGTTTTATTTCATGCGGATGATACCGCACGGGAACAGCTAAATTAAAAATAAAACGTTCGCTTAATATAAATATAGAATGGCATAAACTAAAAAATTCTTTAATTCTTGCTGCTACACATTGTTTTAGACAAATCCATTAAAGAATACGGAAAATACAATTAACTCACAAACTGCAGCGATAACACAAATTCAAAGATACGAATTAAACTGCTGAAACAAGGTTTTTGCAGAAATTAATTGCATTCAAATAACTTATTTTACAAATGGTAGTAGTCAGTAACTAACAGCGGAAGATAATCCAGTAGTTTACTTAACCCTATAGTTTTGATTTCATCTCCTATTTTAATTTTTTTGATCAAAGAGCTTATTTTGCTTTAAACGTATTTGCTATTTACTTTTTACAGGCGCTATGAGAAAATCTTGTTTACTATGTCACATGTAACACTACCAAAAAATGTAAAAACATTTTTGGATTATTTATTTATCCATCCATCAAACTTTTGCATTTAAAGTATTGATTAGAAGTGAAATTATGTGATTCTGCATGTGTCAGTTTGATTGTGGCTGTCTGCAGTCTACGGACAAATGTATTAATTTTAACGAATGAATCTTCATTTGGTGAAATAGGTATCTACCTACTCGTACTTTTGAATGAAGTACTGAAGTAGAATATGACTTTTGTTTAATCAATTATCAATATTATCTCAAATTAAAAATTGGCACGTGGAACATAAGAGTGCTCTTGTTCTCAACGTGCAAAACAAACCACCGGATACAAGATAAATGAGCGAACGCTATAGATCAGGGGTTTCCAAC